TAATAACTATGTGTGGGTCAGAACAGAAGCGGGGGACCCACTGAGATCAACTTGCCCTGTGCATGGAGATGTAATAACTATGTGTGGGTCAGAACAGAAGCGGGGAACCCACTGAGATCACCTCGCCCTGTGTGTGGAGATGTAATAACTATGTGTGGGTCAGAACAGAAGCGGGGGACCCACTGAGAACACTTTGCCCTGTGCGTGGAGATATAGTAACTGTGTGTGAGTCAGGACAGATGGAGAGTGGGGACACTGAGATCACCTTGCCCTTTGCAGGGACCACTCCTCACAAGTACATGAGGACTTGGTGCAAGAAAGCAGCAATGAGGCCTCCAATTCTGTCAGTGCCGACTGGCAGTCTCTGCTAGAAGCCAACCATTCGATTAACTCTTGACTTGGCCTGCTGACTCTTTCAGCCTTCCTCAGTGAGGAGGAATGGGCTGGGGAAAGCACGAGAATGCTGAAGGAGACCAACCACACATACGGCGTTTGTAAATGGGAAAGAAGACCACACGAGCCCAAGGCTTCTGAATTCACAGGAACATAGAGAGATGATCACGAAGGACAAGACGGGAGGTGCTGACAACGCTCTCATGAAGGGGCCTAAGGGAGGGCTCTAAAGCTCAGAAAGGATGGACATGAGGGCTGGGACCCCAGAGCAGGACTGACACTAGGCAAGGACCTGGGGAAACAGCATCCATGTGACAGTGCCCAGAGCAAGCTGAGGCTGGAGAAAAATTCTGAGACAGTGCAAAGACTTAAAAACGAACCACAGTTTGGCCAATGATGAACACAAGAACATTAACTCCCTGCTTAGGGATAGTGGCCAGTGGAGCGCCTTCATCCTCAGACATCTACTTGCATTGCTCAGACCCCAGCCTTCACCCAGTCGAAGGTGTTACCCTAAAATGTGGCACCTTGACATGCTGAATACTTTGAACTAAAGAAGCAGTCCCAGAACCAAGGTCCCTCTGACCTTCTCTCGACCCTGTCCCTCTCCTCTTTGCTTCTCCCGAAGGACAAGGAGGGGCTTTCTTGACTAAGGGAAGTTCCTCCAGAAGGAATGCAGCTGTCTTGGGCCCCCTCCCTATCTCATCAAACAGAGATGAGCTTACAGAAAAGAAGGCTCGGAAAGGAGTCGGGAGTGGATGCGACACCCAGGACCCAGGGAACTTTGCTGTAGGCCACTGTCTGTTCTTTAGGCCCATTTATCTTCCCTAAAAAAGTCATTTACTCTTCCTCGGAATTGCAACCCCCAACTCCCTCTCCCCTCTGAAGAGGGTATTTAAGCTTCAACCATCTGGTCCTTCTTAGAATTTCATACTGCATGCGACTCCCCTGGGCTTGCATGTTAATAAATTTGTAGGCCTTTTCTCTGTTTAATCTATCTATTGTCAGTTTGTCTCAGCAGATGCAATTATGAAACCTTCAGAGGAAAAGTTTGAACTTCCCTTCAAAGGGAAGTCTTTATTTCTAACAGTGCCCCTCCTCCTCCTCCCTTCTGTGGAAGAGTAGCCTCTTGATAGAGCTTTGGAGCACACCTGGAGGAGGAGGGGAAGGTGTGGTAGCAGGAAGCAGACAGGCCGGGTGACTCTGGGCAGGGCTGGCACTGCCCTGGGTGGCCCTCCAGAGATGCCATGCCTTTCCCCATTCATAGCTTCCAGGTGGAGAAAACAGTGCCTCTGAGTTCTTCTTGCCCCCGGCCCTTCCTCCACATAACCTTCCACAGGAGGGTGTCCGTGGACAGAACTCTGGGTCCGGCAGCGCCTGGCCAGATGTGGGGCTCAGGTGTGAAACTCTGCTCTGGAGTGGCGTTTGAGAGTCTGGGTGAACCGGAACTTCCTGGGAACTTGAGCCTCTGCAGTGAGCCTTTCCCACACTTGGAGAATCTGATGAGGTGAATTGGAAATAGGGCCTGCATGACTAATAAGTGTTAACAAGTGCGCAAACGATTCTGAGGCCCAGGCAGCCTGCAGCATTCTGCTGGGAGCCGGTAGCTAAGGGAGGGGCCCACACAGCCACCAGGTGGAAGGGAAGAGCCCTCCGTTCAGGTGGCTCTGCGTGGTGACACTGAGGAAGCCTAAACAAGGGTCTGGTGGTGACAAGCTCAGGGACGTGGCTCTGAGTTTGCTCCAGTCACCTTGGACTGCATATCTGAATGATTTGGAAGACCTGTATAAACAGATGTGTCCAACTTCATGGTGTATCCGGGACAAAATGTTTTCCACGTGCACAGAATTCAGGTTTTGCCACAGAGCTCCCCTTTCGTATGCAAATGTTTTCCATCATGTGCCTATGACCACCCCCTGTTGAGACCTCGCATCTTTGCCACTGGCATACTGGGGCCCCCAAAGTAGCCTGGGGTTCCAAAAGATGGTTAGGTCCCTTCTGATATCTGAGTCCATCTTTGTTTTAGAAAAGGGGTCATCAGCTTCCATTGTACGTCTCCAGTGGCGGGGAGCTCAGCTATCCCCAGCAGGTGACACAATGTCAAGATGATGCTAGTGGCTGGGTGTGGTGGCTCACTCCTGTAATCCCAGCACTTTGGAAGGCCAAGCTGGGAGGATCACTTGAGGTCAGGAGTTCAAGATCAGCCGGGCCAACATGGTGAAACCCCGTCACTACCAAAAATACAAAAATTAGCCAGGTGCAATAGTGCACACCTGTAATCTCAGCTACTCAGGAGGCTGAGGCAGGAGAATTGCTTGCCTGGAGGCGGAGGTTGCAGTGAGCTGAGATCGTACCACTGCACTCCAGCCTGGGCAACAGAGCAAGACTCTGTCTCAAACTCCTGAGTAAAAAAAAAAAAAAAAAAAGGTGATGCTCGTCCTCAGAGATGTCTTTCTCACGCTGAGTGTCAATCAGCTTTCCCGCAACTCCCCCACCTAGATATACTGCTCTCTTTTCCTTTGTACAAAACAATGCTGTAGAGACATGAAGACATCCAATGCATGGCCCCAAAATTTATCCAGGCTGAGCAGAGGCTGACAGCACTTAGAATTCAATGCACAAATGGATCCACCACCTGTGGAAGCTTGTGAAGATGGAGATTGGGATTCTGGACTTTTCACAAGCCCCTGGTCATGTGGAGGCTGCTGCTCCAGGGACTGCGCTTACAAAGCACTGGCTGAGGGTTAAAGAGTCCACCTAGAAGTAAGAGGGGCCCAAGTCCCTGGAGTGGCCCCTCACTTAGTGGCTCTATGACTGTGGGCAGTTACATCCCATCCTGACACCTTTGTTTCCATTACAGTAAAATGAGGCTAATGAGGGCATCTCTGATGGGTTTACTGGGAGAACCCAGTCCAGGCTCAAGCTCCCCACTCATGGGCCAGCACATGGTACAATCTTGATCATGTGAACCCTTGGTCATGTTTAGCTAAACAGCCTGGGACCTTCAACTGTTCCCCGGAGGTGCTTCACCTCCATGCCCTCTCCCCAGGAGACATTGAGAGGGGTCATACTCACAGAAAAGGGCCAGGGCATTACACAGAAGATGCAGACAACACCTGTAATTTCCACAAACAACGTGTTCTCATAAATCTTACCACTGTCCTACTAAACACAATAGTAGAAATAGTGGTTTTTCTGGGCAACCCCTGTGAGTGAAATATCAATTCAGAAGCTGAAGGACCTATCAATAAAGGTCTATCCTGTGAGGCTACACTGGTTCAGCTTTTGTGCTGGTTAGAAATGCTGATGAACAATTAGCTGAATTAATACCCTTTGATATGGCAAGACAACTCTATTAGTATTTAATCAATGTCATCTTTGATAGATTATAGCTGGGGAAATTCTGATTTTTTTTCATAAATTAATGGATAGCTTTGCGTTTTCTGACTTGGTTCAGGTGCCAACTCCTTAGGCCAGACCAAGTTAGGTGCTCCTTAGAGCAACCTATTAAATTACTTAATATGTGGGATTGTGATTGTCTTCTCTCTCTGTTAAATTTTAACTCCTTGAGTAGAGAGACAAGATCTTATTGTCATGGTATCATCAGCGCCAATCAAAGTGCCTGGCACAGAGCAAACATTTGTATGAAAGAGGGAGGAAAGAAGGAAGGAAGAGAGAGAAGGAGGGAGGGAGATAAGGAAGGAAGAAAGAGAAGGAGAGAGTGAGGAAGGAGAACGGAGGCATACATGACCTCCCTCAGGAGCAAAGGGAAAGAGGAAAGCATCACTGGCCAGTGAGTTGGGCTTCACTGGGTGGAGACTCTCTGCTTGTGTCCCCTGGCATTATCTGCTTCATGAAAACAGGCCTATTGCTGTAAGGGAGTGAGGTTTCCTTCTAGCTGACTTGCTGGGAGCAAGTCTTTATGTGTCCAGCTCTGCCCACAGCCCTGTCAATACGGTTCTAAGGAAGAAGATTGCTTCCCCAAAATAAGTTCCCCAAAGTAATATTTTCCCCTGAGGGGACATATTTACTATAACTGTGGTTCTTGTTGAACGGAGGGACTCTTCCTTTGTTAGGCAATTCTTTTCCTCGGACCCTGAGAACTGTAAAATGAGATATTCCTTCTCATGTTTTAGTGAGATGAAAACAAAGTGGAGAGGATGCTTGAGGTGACTTGGAGCCAGGGCCAAAATGCAACTTCGTTCTTGTTGCTTGCACCCAGTGAGTGACTCATGGGAACCAGATTTTGGGACAGTGGTTTGCCTGTACTCCTGGCTGGTCACCTGGCTGGTGACAGGTGTGGCCAAACTGAATGGCATTGAGGGGGGTGGGGGTGGGGGTTTGTGCGGTATTGTCATATCCTGAGGTGTGGCTGCACTTGTTGGGAAAACAAATGGGTATGAAATCTTGAATCCAAATGATGACCTGAAGTGTGGGCAAAACCCCTGTGTTTGTGTGAGTCTGGGACTTGGTTTACTGAATGCCTCCCTATCCTCCCAGTGTGGAAACGGCACCTTTGCAACAAGAGGACAAGGACGATGCATCTTGCATGGTCCCCTGGACCCTGGGCAGCACAGTCCTGGCAGCTGCTGAGGTTTCTAAACAAGGAGGGAGGCACGTTTTGGCCCTGTGTTTCCAGTTGAACAAGAATTAAGAGGCTTCTGTAGAAGCCCTGGCATGGAATCTACCAGGACCCTGGGTGCTCGTTTCCTTCCTAATTGGCTACCTGCAAGTGGGCACCTGCTCTTGAGATGGGGCAGGGACCCCTCCCCAACTGTGGAAATACAGGAAAATCTTGGCCTCCTTCAAGGGAAATTACAAGCACCCAGCTAGCCCTGAGAAGCAAATGAGCAACTTGATAAGCAGGAAGGTAATAGTAACCTAAAACAACAGCCAAGTAAGCTGGAACCGTGGGGTGTTTGGTTCCCTCTGGAAACTAAAGAGAACATCTGAACAGGTGTCTCTGAGTGGTTTTTCAGAAACCCAGACCCCACCATACGGATCCACTGGCACAGAAACCTCAGATAAGAGGGAGCTGAGGACTGAACTTGGAGCATGGCTCTTTGTTCTAAATTTCCTCCTGAGGGGCTTGAGGAAAGTCCCCCCAACAAGCCAGAGCTAACATTCCTTTCTGCTAACCCACATTTTTAAACAAAGCTTCTCTTCCTTAACCAATTGCAATTCCAAAAATTTTGGACTCCACCTATGACCCATAAGCCCCTGCTTCAAGATATCCTGCCTTTTTAGGCCAAACCAATATGTACCCTCCATGTATTGATTTACGATTTCACCTGTGACTTCTGCTTTCCTGAAAATTTCCCTTGCCGTTAAAAATCCATGCTTGCAAGCCACTGGGGAGCAGGTTTGAAGTGTGAGCTGCCTGATTCTTCTTGCTCGGTGCCTGCAAATAAACACCCTCCTTTCTCCCACTACAGGCTTCAGTGTGGATTTTGGCTTTACTGTGCTGGGCCAGTGGCCCCCAGTTTCATTAGGTAAAACGCTCAGACTCTTGAGTTAATCCGATACTTCTCTCCAAATCCCCAAGGTCAGGAACTGGCAGGGGGTGAGGGGGTGAGAACACAATTTCCTTTTGAGTGCAGGGCACAGGTACTGGTCACTGAATTGGGGCAGGACCTAGTGGAGGGCCTGGCCCTGCAAAGGCATGAACAGGTGTTGAAGGGACAAGGTGAGATGCCAGGCTGTGGAAGACAGGGAGGTGGCTCTGTCAGCCCTGGACCCCACTGCCCACAGAAGGAAGACAGGAGTCCGGGGACAGAACCTTAACTGCAAACTTGTTTCACTTTTTAAAAAGTGGCCTTTTCTTGAACAGAAAATAGCTTTCATAGGGAAGTTTCTTCCTGTGAAGGAAACTCATTCTACGTAAATAATCATTTCTGCAAGATTGCCCTGGGCTGGTCCTCAGCCAGTCTGAGGTGACCTGAAACTGCTGTTGTGTCTGAGCTGGGGGCCCCAAGGGTTTGCTCACCAAGAAGCCTACAAGTGAGCGGGTGGGTGCGGGTGCACAGGGACCCTCAGGACCAGGTGGTGCCCTTGCCACACCCACCTGGTTGGCAGGGCCAGGGAAGAGCAGGGCAGGCCAGGACAGGGGGGAAGGAAGCTAAGGAGAAGGGCTGGAGTAGAGTGCACCTGGGAACTGACATGGAAGGGACCAGGCCAAGCAAGCAGCGCCCCTCCATCAGAGGGGAGCCTGGGAGCCCTTCGGGTGAGGTCGTCTCAGGATCCCTACTGCCTTCTGGACTTAGGGATCCAAAAAGGCTAAGTATATTGATGAGCGTGCGTGCGTGTGAGCATGCGCGCGTGTGTGCCTGTGTTGTGTGTGTGTGTGTGTCTGTTGCTTGTTCTCGGGGAGGGGGAAGTCAGCTCCTCTGGGTTCATCTGGGGGTGGAGATCAGTCTGCAGTAACTCAAGAAATGCCTTCTGTGGCAAAGTCCTCTAGGTCTCCAGTGGAGATGATGCCCAGGCCTGGAGCTTCTGCGCCCTCCTCTCCTGGGCTCTGGGGAGGCCTATGGGGGTGCTGGCCGGCAGAGTGTGGGGTGCAGTCACCATGAGGCCCTGGGGTCAGCTGTAGTCCAGCCTTGTGGACACTCTGGGGCCTGGTGTGGGCCACAGAAGTGCGAGGGCCCTGCCTGAGGAAGGTGGGAGCGGAGAGCTGAGACGAGCAGCGCAGCGGCATCAAGGCCGTCACAGGCACCGGTTGGAAGCCGGGGTACAGCACATAGGGAGCAGCAAGGGCATCCGGTGGGGGCGGCTCTGGTGAGGTCCCCTCGGAGGACGGGATGGAGACCTTGACATACTTGCCCGTCTCTGGGTCATAGAAGGTCTTGATTTTCACCTGGAGTGGCAAGTCGAAGACAAAGTACTCCCCGGACTGTGGATCCTGAAGGACCTTCTGGGTGGCGGGGTAAGTGGGCAGGGGTGTGAGGGACTGGGGGCCCCCAGGCCGTCTCCCGGCAGACTCGGAGAAGCTGGACACAGAGTGGCGGTGCATGGGAGGGGGCAGGGAACGGACCATGGGGAAACTGTGTTGAGGCCTCTCTCTGGGGCACAGTGGCCTTTGCTCTGCCTGCTCCAAGTCCTCCGGGCAGAACTTTCCTTCCTGTGGCTCGCCATGCTTCTCCTGTGTCTGGTCAGTCTTCCTCCTTTTGCTTGCCAGCTTCTTCGCCCTCCGCAGGGCTTTCTCTGTTTTGGGTGGGACTGCAGGTGGTTTGCTTGCTGCCCTCTCCAGCTGTGCAGGAAGCTCAAGTCTCCCAGGGGGGCCTGCTGGGCTGGTGGCCACATCCAGCAATGGACCTCTTGGAGACAGCGTCCGGAGGTCTTCGGCCAGCAGCTCAAGCTGGGGATCAGAGCCGCCCTCCCATACCAGGGCATGGGTCAGGTCTTCCCTCCGGGTGACCCTGGCTGGACTGGGGCTGGCCCAGGGGTTGGCTTGAGGAGGCTCCTTGGGCAGCAGCTCCTGTTCTTCGGGGGCCTGGGAAGCCTCATCCCAAATGCTGCTGGCGGCAGGGGAGCAGGCGCTGCTCTCCCCCAGGGAGCTGGAATTGGGAGAATTCACCGTCTCACCAGGGACCGGTCTTCTGCCAGCAGGGCCTGCTCTGGGTGTGGACAAAAAGTGACTCTTGAAACCTGGTGTCTGCTGTTCCCAACAGGGTTCAGGCTGCCCCGGGGGTGGCTGGTCTTCTTCGTCACCCTCAGGTAAAGCGATGGTGGGGATGTGCTGTGGGACTGCCAGCTTCCCTGGGTCTTTGGAACTGCTCTTGCCATTGCTTGCCACGATGCTGTATGCTGCATCTGGGGGTGGCTTCACCCTGTCCCAGTCTCCTACCGGAGGCATAGATGTGTCCTTTGGTGCTGGCTGAGAGGCCTCCATCCTGGCTGTGCTGGACTCCTGCTGGGGTTCCCCCGTGACCTCACTGGCCATGCACTTCACGCGTGTGCCCTGCGTGTTAGTGGTTGTCGATGTACGAAGAATGTCCTGGTTTTCGGGGGCATAGAAACCAGGATCCTCACCCCATTCTGGCCTTGACAGTTCCTCCTCTTTGTGGCCACTGCCGAGGGAGTCCTCCAAGGACATGGTCCTCAGGAGAGGCAGCATGATAGGTTTAATTACGGGGGTGACTCTGAGGGTGTTGTCTTTAATCGTAAAGAGCATGTGCTTGTTTGAAGCAGAAGATGGGGAGGGGGTAAGGTCTTTAGCCTGTGAAAAGGTTGTACCCTTATTTCCTCCAATCTGAGAGCCTCTGAAATTAGCTTCCTCTGCTGATGCCTTCCTGATTCTTCCTCCAGACACACTTTCCCCTTCTCTTTGCAATGCTTCCCCCTGGCTGCGCTCTTCCAAGCACGCATGCCCATTACTTAAGGCACAGTACTGCAGCTCATCCTTCCCCATCACATTCTCCTTCTCATCCTTCTGACTGTCACCTGCATTCACGTCCTTCCTCCTGTCTTCCCGCTGGTTCTCAGTAAACCACGTCTTCTGTTGATCATCAAACGAGGCAAAGGATTGATCTGAAGAGCTAGTGCTGAATTTGGCCTTACCTTTGAGGCTTGGCATGAAATCAGATTGGCTGTCACTATAAAACACATCTTCCTCCTCAGGAGAGAGGGGACCTGGGGAGAATTTCTGGTTCAAGTGTGTGTTCTGAAGTCCTGCTTCCTTCTCAGGTTCTGTCTCTTGGGACACAGATCTGGAGAGCCCATTCTCTAGCTGGCAGGTCTTCATTTTCTCCGTAGCCCCACCAGGCTCAAGATCCCTATTGCAAAGCCTTAGGGAGAGGTGCTTCCTGGAGCGGTGTTCCCTGGAGTCTGGACACCAGCCGGACCCAGCAGGACCCATCTCCAACTCTCGTTCCGCTTCCTCGTTCTCATAACTGCTTCTCTCAGAAGCCTCCCCATTGACATAGAAGGGGGCTTTGATGATAGTCGGAGCTGTGCTGAGGGTTAGATAGCTGTCTGCGGAGGGCTCACTGGGGTCGGCTGTAGGGTCCTGCTGGGCATTGATGTGCGATGCAGTGGGGTCATTGGCAGGTCTCTCCTTAGAAATCTGGTTTGGAGGACTTTCCTCAAGCCCGTTGGGGAGGATGACACCGTTGCTCACGGGTTCTTGCTTTCTGTCAGCCTTACCTCTGGTTTTCTCATCAAGCCCTTTCAAGAGAGGTGAGGAACTGTATGTGCTCTTAACACGCTTCCGCACATCCTTGAGGTTGAACAGCAGGCTAGGGGCTTTGGACTTGTAGCTGTCTCGAGATTGACATTCACTGGGCTCCTTCTCTTGGTATCCATTTAGCTGTCCTGGGGGTGATGGGGTTCTCTCTGCTGGCTGGCTCTCTGCTGAATCCAGGGCATGCTTGCTGGGTATGATGGGGGTCAGGAGCTTACTGATGTTAAACGGGGGATCATAATGTTCATCGGGTTCCACAGGCAGGTCAAGAGCATCATTTTCTGGAAACTGTCCCTGGGGTTTGTGTTTTGTATACAAAGGTGGGCCTCTCCTGTTGGTCTGTGTCTTTTCTTCTGAAGCATCTTGTAGACTTTCTTTCCCTTTCTTGCCAGTCTTTGGTTTCCTCCATGGGGGCTGGGCTGGCTTCTCTTGAGAATCAGGCTGTGAACTGGGAGCTTTTCCTTCCACATCAAATACCTGGGATCCTGGATCCCTGTACCCCCAAGGTACAGATGTGGACAGAGCTCCTGCTGCCACTCTGTTCTCTTCCTGACTGCAGCGGGCCTGGACCTGGCAGGGAGAGACTGTGCACTCAGGAGGACAGGGTTCTCTTAGCAAGGTCGAATCCCCATAGTGCTTGGGAGCTTTGCTTTCTGGGACTGTTCCGGCCGCATCCTTTCTCTCCAGCAGCTTTGGTTGGTGGGCATTCCACGACTCAAAAGCACTATTTTCACTGTGCAGAAAGGTGCCTTTGCCTCTCCCAGGCTCACCAGTGGCTGGCTTGTGGTGTGGAGAGGGGAACGTTGACTCAGATGAGCTGGTCACGTCATCGGCTGCCGGGAGGAAGCTGCTGGAGCCGTGACAGGCCATTTCTGGATTCTTGGGGGACTCCTGTTCTCTGTGTTTTCTGCTGGGCTGGTGGCTGTTCTGATGGGTGTTGGAAGCTTCAGCGGGCACCCTCCTGACTGTCAGAAAGGCAGAATCAAAGCAGAAGTTGACACTGCTTTCTGGAAGAGGGGCAAATTTGGGGGGATTTTTCAGAGCTGGAGGCTTGCTGGTAGTGGTTCTGTTCTCACAATGTTGGGTCTCAGTCCTGTCGAAAGATTTAATTAGTGTTGATACTTTGGAGACAGGCTTGTTGCTGCTCCGGAGACCGGAAACTGGCACCTCCAGTCTCCTCTGGACTGGTGTTGGTGGGGGGCTGGTTTTGGGGTACTTTTCCTCTCCCTGAACGTACTTAGGCAGCTGTTGGAAGGTGGCCGCCCAGCCTGAATGTTCTGTGCCCTGCGATGGTAACTGGCTCCAAATGCCACTTTTCCTCTGGGTGTGGCTCACTGTTCTCTGCTGGAGAGTCCCAAACACCTGTCGGCTGATATCTGGGGACACGGCCAGGTAAGAGTCATGGAAGGATGTGTCCTCTGAGATGCACAGGCTCCGGAACGCCCGGTCTGTGAGGCTGCTCACCTCCCTGTCTGCATCATCCAACACACTGCCGATGCTGGAGGAGTCGCTGAACCCGTCTGTGCACTTCTTATTTCCCTGCATCATCTGTTGTCTCCAGGAAAGCTGTCCTAGTCAGCCGGTAGGCGCCTCTGGTGATGATTCTGGCAAGGTTAGGTGTTTCCCTCTTCCCACAAAACTAGAGCTTCTCATTGACCAGATGTAATTGTAAAGTGGGGATTTTTTTTTCTCTGCAAAAGAAAAAAGTGCAGGGTGTGAACAGGGTATCCAGCTCTATGCAAGAATATGTGCTTGTCCAGTTGGAAAATAGTGCCTGTGATGGTTAATTTTATGTATCAACATGGCTAGCCTGCTATATGTCTAGATTCTAGATCAGTCTAGCTACGGCTGTGAAGGAATTTTTTAGATGTGATTTCCCTAAAATCAGCAGACTTTAGGGAAAGCAGTTTATCTTCTGTAAGGCAGGTGGCTCTCATTTAATTAGTTGAAGGCCCTAAGAGTAAAAAGACTGAGGTCACAGGCAACAAAAGCAAAAATAGGCAACTGGGATTACATCAGTTCAAAAGCTTCTGCACAGCAAGGGAAACAATCACAAAAATGAAAAGGTGTTCCACGGAATGGAAGAAAATGTTTTCAAACTGCATATCTGATAAAGGGTTAATATCCAAAATGCATGAGAAACGCCTACGACTGAATAACAAACAAAACAAAACAATACCCAAAACCTTCTGATTTAAAAATGGGTAGAGGAACTGAACAGATATTTCTTCAAGAAGACATAGTAATGGCAAACAGGTATATAAAAAGGTGCTCACCTTCACTAACCATCAGGGAATTGCAAATAAAAGCTACAAGGAGATATCACATCGTGCCTGCTAGGACCGCTATTCTCAAAGAAAGAAAAGATGACAAGTGTTGGTAAGGGTGTGGAGAAAAGGGAACCTCTGTACACTATTGGTGGAAATGTAAATTGATGTAGTCACTGTGGGAAACAGTATAAAGATTCCTCAAAAAATTAAAACTAGAACTACTATCTGATCCAGCGTTCCCATATCTGGGTACAGGCCCAAAGGAAGTGAAATTAGGGTCTTAAGGAGGTATCTACACCCACATGTTCATTACTCACAATGGCCAAGATACAGAAGCAAACTAAATTTCCATCGATGGATGAATGGATAAAGAAAATGTGGTGTATGCATACAATAGAATTATTCCACCTTAAAAAGGCAGGAAATCTTGAAATTTGTGACAACGTGGGTGACCCTGGAGCACATTATGTTAAGAGAAACAACCCAGTCACAGAAAGACAAATACGCATGATGTCAGCTACGTGATGAATCTGACATAGTGAAACTCACAGAAGCAGAGAGTAGAATGGGGGTTGTCTGAGGCTGGAGAGCAGGGAAGTGGGGAGTTATTTGTTAAAGGATGAGATGTTTCAGTTATGCAAGATGAATTAGTTCTGGAGATTGATGTACAGCAGGTGCCTGTAGTTAACAATACTGTGTTGTGTGCTTGAAATTTGCTGAGGATAGATCTTATGTTAAATGCTCTTATCACACATACAGAAAAAAATAATGAATAAAAGGGGTGGGAGGAAATGTTTGGAGGTGATGGATGGGTTTATGCATGGATTGTGGTGATGGTTTCAACGGGTGCATACTTATCTCCAAACATCAATTCTTCCTGGGTCTCTAGCTATGCCCATTTTGGACTTGCCAGCCTCCACAGTCATTCAAGCCAATTCCTTAAAATAGATTGCTATCTCTCTGTACCAACATATCCTATTGGTTCTGGTCTTCCGCAGAATTGGACCCATACAGTGCCTGAAGTTCAGTGGTGTTTTTGCAGAGCCCTTCCCTGATATTCCATGGAGTATTTCCTCCTTGCTCATCTTTCTCTCTGTGCCTGGTTTATTTTCTTCATGTTACTGAGCATAAGGTTCAGTTTACATCTTTGTGGTTTACCCATGATTAGAATGTCAGTGGAAGGCATGTGGGGACTGCTAGGTTGTCTTTTCACTGATTGCCCCTCATCCCAGAGCCACCCCAAGAGGATACGGTCCCCAGAGTCTGCATTGCCTGGGCCCCTTACCTCTGGGACCAGCCCGTGGGGGTGGGCAGTGGACGTGCTTGCAGGAGCCTGGAGGGAGGGGAAGTCAGCATCCCTGGCATGTCTCCAGCCCTCCTGTCTTGCTGTGACATGGGGACCCCAGTCACATGATGTCCTCAAGGTTTATCTGTGTTATAGCATGTGCCAGAATTTCATTTTCAAGGCTGAATAGTATTCCACTATATATATGTGTGTATGTGTGTGATATATACATATATACACACATATATGTATATATATTGTGTGCATATGTATGTATATATGTATTGTGTGTATATGTATGTGTGTATATAGTGTGTATATGTATGTATATATATATAGTGTGTGTATGTGTATATATATATTGTGTGTATATGTATGTGTGTATATATATATAGTGTGTATATGCATGTATATATATAGTGTGTATATGTATGTATATATATATATTGTGTGTATATGTATGTGTATATATATAGTGTGTATATGTATGTATATATACATAGTGTGTATATGTATGTGTGTGTATATATATATATATATATATAGTGTGTGTATATGCATGTGTATATATCACATTTTGCTTCCCCATTCCTCCATTGATGAACACTTGGGTTGCTTCCAACTTTTGGCTATTGCGACTGATGTTGCTACAAATGTGGGTGTGCAATCTCTCTCAAAGGTCCTGCTTTCAATTCTTTTGGGTATATCCCTAGAAGTGGAATTGCTGGATTATATGGCTGTTCTATTTTTAATTGTTTTTAGGAGCTTCTTTTCTGTTTTCCGTAGTAGCTGCATCAATTTTCATTTCAACCAAGAGTGTGCAAGGGTTCCAGTTTCTTCACGTCCTCGCCAACACTTGTTATTTTCTGCTTTGTTTTTTTCTTTTTTGATAGTACCCATCCTGATGGGTGCATGGTGCTGCATGGCGTTCTCTTGTGAATCCTGTCTGCAGATGCTGCTGCCTTCTGGAATACTTACTGCTCCACCTGGGACACATACCTCCCATTGCCTAGAACATTGCCCGGCCTGGGGCAGGGGATAAGAGAATGGGTACGCTAAAAGTTACATAAAATAGCATGTATGGATCCCGGAGTGCATGCAAGTGAGGGGTGTCTAAGACAGCGGACATCTAGCAGGGTGCTGCTAAGCGTTCATATGGCAGATCAAACACTGCCAGACAACTCCCATTCACAGCAGCAGAGCTGAGCAGGCGACGCTCTTCCCTTTTTGCTTGGCTGGCCTTAGTCACTGCTATTGCTCCAGGAGATGGACAGTGAAGGTGCTCCCATCAGGGAGGCCGAGCTGCATGTCAGAAGCCCCAGGCTCCATGTCCCCTTGCTGAGGGACCACAGGCTGGCTGCCAGCCACTTCAGTGCATCTCTCTCATCTGCATGTGTGCTGTGAGATTGCAACCATTCTGTTTCTTTAGAGTGGGGATCATGTTGCTTCGCTGCAAGGCTCCAGGAGTTTAGGGGTAGCATCCTGGCATAGCTCAGAGCTGCCAGGCTGTCAGTGATGTTTGTCTTTCACCCTGGAGGCCAGGCATCACTGGGGTTTGTTGTTTCCATCTCTTGACCACAGCACTCTGGTGACTTTCCAATGTTGATTCATCAGCAGACAGACTTGTTTCTGTGAACGACAGAACTGAGCTGGAGAAAGGATGGGACCTGAGTTCTAGTGGACTGAATGAGCTGATGAGGAGATACTGACCTGCTCTGGGAAGGCTTCTCTGCACCGGCTCCTCAGCCCTACCTTGAAAGGCAGGCTGCTGGCTCCATGGAAAGCACACACTCACAACAGCATATGCTTTTTAGAAGGCTGCATACAAGGAAAGAGCATCAGCTTGCATGGGGAGCAGGGGAGACCCTAAGGCTGGCTGGGCTCACATCTTCCCCAGTAGAAGACACACGCTCCAATCTTCAGATTCCCAAGCAGCTAGCATGGTCAGGGGATATGCCTGTGGTCACAGCAATGGAAGCAGCCAACAGTCCGTGAAAGTTCCTGCCTTTCTGGTCAAAGGAATAATTCCTGCTGTCTCTGCTCTGTCAGTACCATTCTTCCTACCTTGAATGCAGACAAGAAGCCAGAAACTACTTGATTTCTTTGCTGGGGCTGCCATGACAAACAATGGCTTAAACATTGAAAATGTATTGCCGCACAGTTCTGGAGGCTGGAAGTCCAAAATCGAGGTGTTGCAGGGTCAGTTCCTTTTGAGGGCTGTAAGGGAGAATCTGTCCTAGCCTCTCTCCTTAGCTTGAGGATGGCCATCTTCTCCCTGTGTCTTCCCATCATCTTTCCTCTATGCTTGTTTGTGTCTTCATTTTTCCTTTTTAAAAATTTTTTAAAGTTTTTAATTATTAATTTTTTTTTCATTTTGTTACTCAGGCTGGAGTGCAGCAGCGTAATCATGGCTTACTGCAGCCTCGACCTCCTGGGCTCAAGTGATCTTCCTGCCTTGGCTTACCAAGTAGCCGGGACTACAGGTGCACTATACCATACCTGGTTAATTTTTGTATTTTTTGTATAAATGGGGTTTCACCATGTTTCTCAGGCTAGTCTTGAACTCCCAGGCTCAAGTAATCTGCCGGCCTTGACCTCCCAAAGTGCTGGGATGACAGTCATAAGTCACTGTGCCCTACACAAATATCCCCTTTTCATAAGGATACCAGTCATACTGGATTAGAGCCTACCTTAAAAACCTCATCTTAACTACGTATAATACCTCTGTAGCGCTCTTATTTCCACAAAGTCACATTCTGAAGTTATGAGAGTCTTTTGGCAGGGGTGCATGACTCAACCATAACACTGAATTCACTTTGCAGCTCTGAGACAAGCAATGGCCATTGAAGGCCAACCTGCAGAGGGTGGCAGTGTGGACGGGTGAGGAGCCCAGGTCCCGGCCAGCACTGCTAAGCTGTGAGCCCGTGGCTGCACCATCCCACTCGAGTCTGTGTTATCGAGGCTGGCGTGGGATTTGATGGAATCTGAGTGGCTTTGACCACTGTGAGTCAGGTTTTCTGTACCCTGAGATCCTATAAAAATGGTCAGGAGTCTCCTGGTGTCCTCAGTGCTGGGATTCTGATCTTGACAATGGCTGAATTCAGTAATATTGGGGGTTTCTACACTTTGAATGAGAATAAGATCGTTTTCATTTAGATAAAAACAGGTTAGTTGTAGACCTAAATTTACAAGCTTAGATAAAGTCAAGCAAGCAGCCTTTACCCAATTAAACATATCCTCAGATTAGTAGGTATTTGCTATTTGTTTTCTGAATATTCAGCTTGCATCCTCTGAGAAAAAGCACTTGATTCCTTTTGGGAAATTTCCTCTCCCTTTGGTTTTCAGTCTTAGTGGGGCTGAAAGTCAAGGTGCCTGCAGAGGCTCCCCAGAGCCAAGAGCAGGTGTGAGACCTAGGGCAGGCCTATGGACTGTGGCAATTCTCCTGGACCCACACAAGGACAGACGTGTGTTCAGGCTTCCTTGCCGGTGGTAGGGCTTTCACTATGCCTGGCCCCTGACACTTCCTAGCTGGAACTTTAGCCATCACCTTGAGTCTACAAGGCCTCCATTTTTCTTTTAATACATATGCATTTTTGTCTCATTTGTTCAGTTTCTGCTTCTATTGCTTATGGCTGAAGAACCCTACCTAATCCAGGGTTTACATCCTCATTCCAAACAGTGGTGAAGGATATTCACTGATCTTCAGAGCATTCAGAAAATAACCACAATGCTTCTGCCTCAGGAAAAAGAGACCCTCTCTCCCCACTCTCCTACCTTTATTCAGATAATTTCTTCAATTCTGATTTGATATACCTGAGGTCAGATGAGACAGTCATAAACTTGACCTCATTCTCCCCCCAGCCGCCATTGTACCATTCAGCATAGTGGCCAAAACAGAGGTGTTTCTATATGCTGCTGTTGAGTTAGTTCCATACCTGTTACAGCACTGGAAGCTGCAGGAGCCTGCTGTGTTGGGTTTTAGGATCTGTAGTTTCAAAACGTCTTTTTATGCTTATATTTGGTGTCATCACTGCCCATCTAGAAAGAAGAAAAATAATTTCAGTGGAACCCAAATGACCAAAGGTCCAAGCGCAAGTTCAGTGAAGAAGTTCAGTATCTTTTATTTTATTTTATTTTTTGAGACTGGGTCTCGCTCTGTCACCCATGCTGGAGTGTAATGGTGTGATCTTGGCTCAGTGCAACCTCTGCCTCCCAGGTTCAAGCAATTCTTGTGCCTCAGCCACCCAAGTAGCTGGGATTATTACAGGTGTGCATCACCATGCCCAGCTAAGTTTCGTATTTTTAGTAGTGACAGGGTTTCACCATATTGGCAAGGCTGGTCTTGAACTCCTGACCTCAAGTGATCTGTCTGCCTCAGCCTCCCAAAGTGCTGGGATTACGGGGTTGAACCGCCATGCCCGACCCAAAGTACCTTTAAATGTCAGTTATACAGCAGTGTAGTTGGCCTTCAAAAATGAAAAGGAATCCATACTTGAGCTCAACAAAATTCTAAAAAACAGACATTTTTGACTGTTTATACCTCTTCTAATATTCATTAATTTGTCGATGGTCCAAGACATTTTTAGAAACCTGTTTTAAGCCTTTGAGTTTTCTAATTTGACTGAACCAGCTGTGAATTACTTTTTGCTAGTAAAATCTGACCCAAGGCCCTTTTCCCAGTGAACTGATAAGTTGGGTTTTGCAGCAAAGAGAACTGGAGAAGTGAAAGTTGAGTCCACTCAGCAATGGCAGCACAGTATTGGATTCATTGTTGGCAGGAGGCTTGAGTCTTCTGACAGCTAAAAGAACCAAAAAGCTGCCCAGGAGGATTTTCACAATGCTCAGAATGAAGAGTGAACTAATTAAAATAAATCCACTCTGCACATTTTAAATGCAGACCTTTGGGGTTTCCATAAGACCTTTCCCAGCTTGTAGCTCCTGGATATTAATCTAGTTGAAGGTAGTTTATTAATAATATTAATAATCATAGTAGCTTGAATTTGTGGAGTCTATGTCTTTGGAGAATCACAGAGGTGCTTTGTGTCTACCACCATACGGTGAGGACCCATCCCTGACTCCCCAGGCTGGCTTAAATGGGCCTCCTTCGTGTTCCCAAAGCATGCTGGGTTTACCTTTTCCATAGCTCAGCCGTGTTGTCACTTCATACATTGTGACCCATATGTTTCAAGAACTGATAATCGCTGCTTTCTCTCCTTAACTAGAAAGGAAGCCCCTTGAACCCAGGAAGGGAGTCTTGTATACCTTTGTATACTGAACTCAATAAATAGAAGCTCAATAACCATTTGTGGTAATGCTCTGAATTGGGTTATCTTTATTCTGATTTTTTTTCCTGGAGGGCAAAAAAAAATTTTTTTTTGAGACACAGAAAAAAAGGGAAAAGATAATAGGAATTTTGTTGAGAAAGACTCCTGGCCTTGGGTCTTACGGCCTTCCGAAAAATTCAGATCGATCCATTTGGAGCTCTAAATAATAAGGCCACACCCCTGTCTGCAGCTCCACTGAGATCTGACTTAGGGATGAAAACGAAACCCACCTGGTGCCACACATGGATGAGACTGAGATGCAGAACGACATGGCGGCATTTATTTTGTGAATGGTTAGGGGACCCCTCACCCTGTGCTTGGGCTTTTGCCCTAGGCAGTTGCCTGATGGACTCACTGACATTGCTGCTGGAATGAATTTTCCAGAGGCCAGCAAATATCTGTCTTGCTCACCACTTTGAAGCATTTAAAGGAAGCCACTCTGAACTGGTGAAAAGTCTTGCTCATAGAGCACTTTGCCAGTGAAAGGGCATGCTCCCTTCAGGCAGCATGATGGAGGATACAGTGCACCTGGCAGGGCCATGCTCTAAACAAGGTCTTGGAACCTGGTCTAATGAATGCATAGAAATAAACATCAATATTTAATCATGACCTGGTCAATTCCTATTTATGTCTATGGCCTTCAAAGACTATTCTCTTAAATGCTTCCTATCTCCTCCCTACCTCCATTATTTCCTTACCCGTTTCACTCAGCCTTTAGTGTCTGGCCCTCACTCCTCCCTGATGGATCTTCTGTTGGGCCATTTTTGCTCCTCATCTGACTTAACTTTTAGGCTGCAACCTAGACGCATGGCCACTGTCTACTTGAGATGCTGTTTCACTTGGACTCTTTTCTTCTCTCCTCCCTGTCTGGATGTTTAGCTCTTCCTCTCCTTGACTGCTGGATTTCCTCTGCTCTCAGCCATGGAACCTCTTCTCCTATCACTCCACAATCTCCATTCAGGTGATTGTCCCCACACCGTGGTCCCTGCAAGCATCCACACACTGAGGCCGTGACCAGGCCAGGCCATTTGCCTGGCGGCAGTCCATGCCTCCTCCCATCCACCAGGCAGCTTGGTACCCATCTCACAGCCCTTCCAACCCACATGTTTAAAGCAGAATCCATGAGCCTTCTGCAAGCTGGCTTTCTCCCTGGGGACCCCAGAAACCTGACATCACCTTTGACTTCCTCCTTTTCCTCCCTATGCCTTCCCGTTTGACATCCATTTCCTACTGCCGTGAGTTTCATCTCCAAAGTTCTCCTCCTTCTACCCTGGTCTCCATCTCCATGGTCCCTGTGTGTCCCAAACTGCTGTCTCAGATCCTTGAACCACTGCAGGAGCCCATTCCTGCCCTATGCCAAGAGACAGCTTTCAACACTCGAACTTGTTCATATTGACCTCTTGCTTAGAATTCCTCAAAGGCTTTCCAGTTTTAAGGAATGAAGATCAATCTTCTTAAACAGATCCTCTCTTTCCGTCCACACCTTGTGCGATCTTTTCCCTCATGCTTGGCTTTCCAGCTGCCCTGGTCTTTTTCCAGCTTCTTCAACACACCACCCTACTTCCTGCCTCAGGGCCTCTGCACATGATATTCCCTCTGCCTGGACTTTTTTACTTCCATCCTTACCGGGTTAATTCCAACACGTGCTTTGGAGCCCAGTTCACGTGTCCCTTCAATAACGCAGCTTCCTCAGGCTATTCCAAGTCCGCCCGTTAAATCCCTTTATCATAGGCTATACCTATCATCTTGCGGCACTTACCGTAATTATAATTGAGCATTTAACTGAATGATTTGTTGTTTAATGTTTGTCCCTCCTGCTAACCTGAGGGCTTATTGGTGGCGGGGATCCATGCCTGTCTGTTTCTTTTTCTTGTAGCATAGTGCACAGTGCAAGCAATCTCTGTTAAATAAATGAGCAAACCCCTCCACCTGTCATGATATTACTCACACTGTTGACAGGCTTAGCAGGACTTATTTTATTGACGGTCAATTATAATTCAATGAACACAGAATTATCACAAATTTCAAATTAGTGAATTTGAATCCAAGTGGATTTTATTTGCTTTCTGATTCCAAACCCCCAAATATGAAAAATTCCCCCTGGTAAGAGATGGAAGCAGGTGGATGGGATTGTTCTTAGAGACTGTTGACTGGCTGGCTCTGGAGAAGGCGTCCGTCGGCAGCATGGCATGTACTGTGTATGTTCAGAGTGCGTTTTTACCAGGGAGAGATGAGAGGTGACTTCATCTTGACTTTGCCATTTCCCAGTTGGTCCCTCTTGTGGCTCTCACTCTCAGTGCTCTAAGTTGGGGAGTGGCTTTGATGCCTTCTGGAGGGCCAGCATCCAGCAAACATTTGTTGAGTGCATTACTTGGGGCTCTGCTTACAGCCACAGTGTGAATGGTGATGCGTTTTCTAAATTACTGGGTCAGTGGACGAAATGCTGGCGTTGCTCTGTACCTCTAGCAACTCTGCAGGACTCAACGGCATCCTGTTCTGCAAACCTCCAGCACTTCCTCTGCTGACCCGGGCCAAACTCGCATCAGGTGGAGAAGGTTCTGCAAAACACCAGAGCACACCAGGTGAAACAGGATCTTCGGGCAAGAATTTAAAAATGGACTTTCCAGTTGAGCCCCTGCAGAACAGCGAAGGGTCTGCCACGCCCACTGTGAATATGTGCATAGGCGAATTGGGAGTGCCCTGTATCCTTGGAACCTGGAGAATTACACTCAAGAATGTGTAATTGTCTTCTCCTAATTGTAGGGTCATCTTTTGAATCAGAATACGTCAAACAAACTCAATCTGAGCATGGATCCCCATGAATCAGCTTTTCCTTGAGATGAGCACCGAAATAACCTTTGCACAGTCATTGCTAAATTCTAACTCTTCCGAAATGTTTTCTCACATGATGCTTTTTTTCCATGCCACGCCTCATATTGCTGTTATTATTGACTGGATGTGCTGCTTTTTGCGGATGCAATTCTCTCTCCCTCCTAATTCCTTACAAATGCCTATGCATGACCCTAAAGGCCCTCTTGGCAGAGGAGATCTGCCTGCTCCCACAGGACCCAAGTGTCCTGGACTGGATCCCTCAAGTAGCAGTCCCTCTGTCTGGAATGTCTCTCTCTGTCCTCAGCCACAGCCGCTGACAACTTCCTCCTCTGTTCCGTTCCTTGTAGAATCTTTTCTTCCCTTTTTATCCCTTACATTGCTTTATTCTTCTTTCACAGCGGTGAATCTCTGTGTCCTACTAGACTTTGAGATCCTTGGTGTGAGGTCCCTGTCTTGGTTCATCTTTTGCCTGCAGGGTGCTTGGTGCACTCTGGTCACTGGGAAATGTTTTCAGTGCTGGTTGCTGAGTGCAATTCTTGGACCCTCAGATGTGATGACCGAGGTTTATTGTGGTGTGCAGAGGGACAGAGGTCCATGTTCTCCTTGTCTTTCTCTGGGCCCCCAGCTGGCAGCCAGCCCAGGCCTGAGAAGTTCATGCAGTCTAGCTTTTGCTGATCTGCCCCAGACCCTCATGTGTCCAGGCTGTAAGGACAGGAAGTGCAGAGGAGACTCATCATCCCTACATGCCAGGCCCTATTGCAGGTGCCTGTCCCACATAGCTGAGGAGTGCGTCAGGTCCACAGGACCAGAGCCCTACTTGGTGACCCTAGAGGGCCCAGCTCAGGGACCACAATCACCCATGAGGTGAGACAAAGCATCCTCAGAGGGAGGACCCGGATATTCCACGTCTCACAGCTGGTGAGTGACAAAGCAGGCTTGGGGCTGGGTCTCGGTGGTCCTGGGGACACTGTACAGAGGCAACAGTTGGTGGTCTGGCATGGCCAGGCTGCTATACTGAGCAAATTAAAAATGCAGAACACGCAGTGAAATGTGAATTTCAAATAAATAATAAATGCTTTTTTAGTGTAAGTGTATTCCATGCAATACGTGGGATACACTCATACCAAAAAAATTATTCATTATCTGAAATTCAAATTCCACTGGACGACTTCTTCTTTTTCTTCTTTTAAATCTGGCAACCCAAGGGTGGCACCAACTTTTAGCACTCAAAGTGGATCACAATCAGAGGAAGCCAATGCGGTGAGTCAATACTGGGATGACACAGTGACAGTCACGGCTCATGTGTCTGCATCACCCTGTAGTTCATAACAAACGTCAGCATCTACGCTCTTGTTTGGTTCTCATGACTCCTCTGAGGCAAGCTGAGTGGGCCTTGTCACTGTCTTCTGGGTTGAGAAACGAAGGCACAGAGAGGTGCAGGATGTTGCTCAGTGCCACATAGCATGTAGACAGGGAAGAACTGGGGGTGAAGTCAGCCTGGGCTCACCACCTTACCACCTTGTGCTTTCTCCAGGATGAAACCCCTAACCTGTGGCCTGTGGACTGAGGCTCCCATGGGCATGTCCTGGGAGGTGTTGCCAGCCCTGCTTATGGCTCATGGGGTGGAGTTCATGGGAGAATTGGTGGCTCTGGGGAAGAAAAGGAGGGTTTCATTTAACTTTCATGTCATGTCCTAAGGATCTTCTCAGCTCAGTTCTCCCAGACATCCACAGAAGTGAAACCTTTGATTCAGCCCGTAAACATGGAAGGATCCTGTTTGGGGAGGGCTCTGGTGCTGCTGGAGGCTCAGACAGCTAGGCTCTGCAGAGCTGGGGGCTCCCCTGCAGGCCCAGGGTGTGCTCCTGACCTGCTGAAGATACGTTCCATTTTCCTCCTCTTCCCTGCCCATCTTTCCACAGGAAGCCATTGGGGTTTGCTTTGTTGCTGGGTTTGACCACTTGCCGGTAGTGTGGTTTTGAGCCCAAGATCTTCGGGTGAATTTAATTACCTTAATTGAATGGTGCTTTCAATTCTTAGAGAAGGGGAAACAGGAAGACAGTGGAGATGGCAGGGGTTGACTTTATCACACCCAGAAGGCTCTAACAAATTGGAATTGATTCCTCTTGTTCTTCTTTCTGGGCTGGTTTTCTGAATCACTGACTCAGGCATGTCTGAGGAGCAGTTCAGTGGAGTGAAGTGTGACAACTCCTCCTTGTCTATGCACAGCCTGGAGTCCTGCTCACAGAGGGTCCTCCACCCGCAGATGCACAGCACACACAGCCTGCACCACCCCACGCCACAGGGCACCTTGCTCTGGACCTGTGCTTTGCTGGTCAGTTTTAGGCCGAGGCAATTGACCTCTCTGTGCAATTCTAACAGCCCTCTTGCTTTAGAGGGGAATGTCCTTATCTACGTTCTCTGCTTTATGAGGAGAATGTCTTAGCTTGAACTGAAATATCGTAGGCTGGGAGGCTTAAAATCAACATTTACTCCTCACAGTTATGGAGGCTGGGAAGTCCAAGATCAAGGAACTGGTAGATCCGATGTCTGGTGAGGGCCCTCTTCCTGGCTTGTAAGTGGACAGTTTCTTATTGTATCCTCAAGTGGCAGAGAAAGAGAGCGAGAGTGCACATGTATAAGCAAGCCCTCTCGTGTCTCTTCTTATAAGGGCACTAATCCCATCATAGGGGACCCCTCCCTCATGACTGAATTGCTTCCCATAGGCCCTACCTCCTAATATCATTCCATTGGGGTAATCCCAATGAATTTTGGAGCATACACCTTCAGCCCATAGCAGCCAACAATGAATTGGCAAATTGACTTCCTCAGTTGAGGTCCTTCAGGTGAGGACAGCCGACATGTGTTGAGTGTCTGTGAAGCAGCAGGTTGACCCCTGCACTTGCCTGTGCTCACATATTCCTCAGTAACACTCGGCATGATAGGCTCCCCTCACCATCTTACATCTGACGAAACTGAGCTGTAACTGGCTGGGTCAACTGTTGGTCCCTTGCTTAAGGCCTGGGAGTGCTGGGCGGGGCCTCACCCAGTCCTCCGCTTCAGTGCCCTGCTCTCTGGTGCCAGAATGATGCCTCCTCAGCTCCTCCCATGTGGGGCTTGCTGTGTCTTTGTAACCTCTTTGGACTTTTGGAAATCAGAAATTATCAGTTCATAAGAAGAAAGCGTTGGATCTCATAAGTGTGACTTGCCGCCTGTTTTGGTGCTGGAGATACAGCCATGTGCAGGGCTGACCTGGGCCATTTGCTCCAGAACTGGATGGATCCTGGGAGGGTGTTGCTTTGTAAAAGTGCATTTACCTCTGATGGCCTTAGATTGGCTTCCACTGGGCGGTGCTTCTTTTGCGTGTAAAGCAGAGCTTTGATTTGCATAGAGGTCACTGTACACCTGGTCTGGCCATTTGGGCTCCACTAGCCTGATATTTGGCACATGGGAAAGGGGTGTCAGCCTGCAGACTGGCCTGGCTTGACTGGATCCAAACTCAGGTTCTAGACTGGGAAAGCCAAAGGCTCCCAAACTGATCCTGAGATCCTGTGCCCTGGGAGAGAACAAGGTTGGCTTTGTCCAGCCCTAGGAACAGGATGTGGTTGGGTGCCATGATGGCAGTGTCGGCCTGGTGGGAGTCTGAATCTTCCACAAACCACATTACATGTGTAGAGGCCTCTAAATCCTGTAGCAGGTAGAAGTCCAGTATGCCCCAGGGATAGTGGTTGAAGAAACCACTCAGCAACCATGGCTGAAGAGTACAGAGCAGCACTAAGAGATACATGGCACGTGAGAGCCTGGACTTTCTCATCTGCAAGTGGACCCCACACCATGACCTGGCACAGGTGCTCCCAACAGACTTTCTCAGCCCTCACATCATTGGCACTGCCCAAGGCTCAGGGAGAAATCACCCCTGGCTGAGAACCACTGTTAGAGAATCAGGGAGCGAGCACTGGCCCAGCACCGGGCTGTCCTTCCTGCCTTCACTTGTTCATGTACTCACTTGCTCTTCCCCTCCACATTTCCCAGGAACATCTTGCCCTGGATTCTGGAAATGGCAGGACCTGACATGACAGAGTCATCATATAAGCAGTGCTGGCAGTGGAAAGAGCTGAGACCCAGTTCTAAAGTTTGTCATCATGGGTGTCACTTAACTGCTACACCTGGAAAATAGGGATAACAAAACCAGCCTGGCTGTGCTTGCCTCCGGCACTGCTGCCCCTCAGGTTGCTCCCCATGCTGGACACAGGAATTTTCATGGAATCAGTCCCCACGGCAGGCACTGCCTGAGAGTCTCTCGATGTTGGAGCCAGCCAACCCACCAGGTCCTGGGTCCCCACCACAGCAGGGAGGATGCCTGAACCGGAAGAAGGTTCAGAAAGCCCTGGCCACTGCAGCCCTGCACCTCACCTGTCAGGTTGCTGGGGAGCGAGTGAATGACACGCACACCCTGTGTCTCTGCAGAGCAGAGATTTCTCCTCTACATGTGGTAAGAAATGCATTCACATCATGGCACAGAACATGCTTGGAGACATATGTATCAAGGGAAACTTGACAAAGCAAAGCTTACCCTTCTTATATGTATGCCCCAACCTAATCTATTTTATTATTTCATTTAAAAAACCTCTTCACAACTTACTAAGTGACTTCAGGACTTAATAATGACTTATGATCTACAGTGATTAAAAAAAAAACACAACTCTCTGAGACCAGAAGTTTCAGGCATACCTAATTAGGTCCAACTTATGGCTGCCCTGTTTATGGTAATGCCAGATTTTCATCTGGATGGAGAATTGGAGACCCAAGGCCCAAACACAGTGACTGACCAGGTTCACCTGGGGAGGGGAGGAGACTCCACCCCCTGGTGGCAGGTCCATGGTCCAGGCCTTGCCTTTCTGCTCCAGGCTATGTCTCCAGTTCCCACACAGTGCCTGTGCCTCGCATGGGACCATTTATTTGCTAAGCAAGTGAATGAATGAGTGGATGAGAGAAATTTCTCTTATCCGCTGAGTGGGGACTGAGCACCTGGTATAAAGGTACTTTATAACCTAATATTATTAATTAATATTTATTATTTAATCAATATTCACAATAGCCTCATGACACAGGAGTTACTCTTGTTCTTTACAGAGGAGAAATGTGTAGTGCAGAATTTAACACCTGGTGGTGTGGGGCAGGAACCTGGGGCTCCTAGAGAAGTGGTGGTCCCATTCACCTGTCTTTAGAGAGCGTCCTCTAGCAGCTTCTGGAATGCCAGCTACAGGTTAAGAGTCTCTGCTCAGCACCATGCTGTGCCTTTGGGGACCAACCTGCCCCTGGCTACTGTGCAGTTTTCCATACTCCTGGTTCTCACCCTCAGGCCCCCTTTGAGCTCATCTTGAGACCTGTGGTCATAGGATGTCCTTCTATTCCCCATACCCCATCACACCTGGGATTCCACAGCATGGGGTGCAAGGACCTTGAAACCTAGTGGGGCACACAGCTCTCCAGTTAAGAGCTTCAGAATCAGACAGATTTTGGACTTGCCACTCAACTTGTGTGAGCCTCAGTCTTGCTTTGGTGACTTTGGGGCGAATGGAAAGGCAGACCCAGCAGCCTGAGGCTTATGGATCAGGACGTGGTGGTGAAGAGACAACTGTAACTTATGACCAGATTCCACCTTGGAGAGAGCCTTGTCTAGACAGAAGCCCAGCTCCTGGAGGAAGAGGCATTTGTTGGGATGGGGATATCTCCTCAGGAACCATCCTCTCTCCAGCCCCTGGGAAAAGAGCCAGGCTTTACGGGGAGGGGAGCCCCCTGAAAGCAGCCCTGGAGGGTGCCGGGCTTGGCAGAGACAGGAGACTCAGGCAGGACTCCTGAGAACCACGGGAGGGCAGGGATTCTACAGAGTCCATGGCAACATCTATATACCAGGTTCCTCATATGTAAACTGGTGCCATGAGGCTGCGTGACACAGGCAGAGAAGCAGAGCTGGAGAAGCTGTCACCAAGTGTTAGCACCCCGGCAGTCTCAGACACCCATCCTGTTGATGGAGCTCCTGCCACCTGTCTCACCCTCTATATCCATGGCCTCACCCAATGGACGTAACAACTGGCAAATTC